CAGGCCGGTGAGAGGGAGGGCGAGGTTGTGGGTCCTGTTCAGAGTAGGCAGGGGGCCTCCAGGAGGAGGTGACCACTGAGGTGAGCAGAGGAAGAAACCAGGCCCTTGGGGCTGGGAAAGGGATGCGTCTGCGTGGTGGGGGAGGGTGGCTGGGGAGGGGGTTGGGGGCAGGGCGGTCCTCAGTGCGGGACAGTGGGGGCGTGGATCACGGACCACCTGGGGAATGTGAGCGCCAAGTCCCGAGAGCCGGGATGTGCTCAGTTTGGCTGCGCACCTGCGTGTCACCTGCAGGGGGCAGCAGGGGTGTCCCCTGGAAGGGCAAGCAGCCAGCTGGGTGGGCGCGTGGGGGGCACGGGAGGAGCGGACAAGGCTGGCGACGCCATCCTGGTCTCTCCCCAGCCCCCCGGGGGGGTCCCGTTTCCGAGAGCAGGGATGCCCCACTCTTCCTGGTTAGCTGGGACCAGCTGAGGGAGGGGCTGCGGGGGCCTGAGGCAGCCCCTGGGCCGGGCAGGGGCTGCCCGCGGGGGGCCTGGCTTGCTCGTTGAGCGTGGTCAGGGTGCTGACCGGCAAAGGCCACTCTCACAAAGAAAAGAGGAACCAAACACAGCAGTCCTTCCTCCTGGCTCACACGGTCCCGCATGCAACAGAGCGGGGCCCTGCGTTCGTAAGAGCCCACGGCTTCCCCCAGCATCCGAGGTTCGGGGGAGCCCCTGCCCTGCAGCCTCGCGGAAGCTCCTGTAGACGGAGGCCGCACGTGGGCTCCCTGGCAGCCCGTGCTCAGGAGGCGCTGTGCAGCGGGCGGCTTAGCCTCGCACACAGAGCAGGCGAGAGCGGGGTGGCTGGCGCTGGCTGCGGGCTGTTGGGTTCAACTGTTGCTGAACCCATACTGATTTTCACGGGATTTCTCTCTCCTCCGGAAGACCCGCCCTGCAGCAGCAGCGCGCAGAGCTGTGGGAGCCAGAGGCGGCGCAAGAGCTCTGTGTCCAGTGTCCACGACGCGGCAGCTGCCCACAACCCCCTTCCCACGGCCATAGCCCCCAACCTGGCCACAGATGCACCCTCCGTGGTCACAGCCCCTGACTGCTCCCTCCGTGGTCACAGCCCCCGACCCGGCCACAGACGCTGCCTCCCGTGGTTACAGCCCCCGACCTGGCCACAGATGCTTCTTCAGTGGCCACAGCCCCCGATCCAGCCACAGACGCTGCCTCCCGTGGTCACAGCCCCCAATTCAGCCACAGACACTGCCCCACCCAGTCACAGCCCCTGACCTGGCCACGGACTTTCCCTCCATGGTCACAGCCCCTGACCTGGCCACAGACACTGCCCTCCATAGCCGCAGCCCCCGACCCTGCCACAGATGCTTCTTCCGTGGTCACAGCCCCTGATCCAGCCACAGACACTGCCCCCCCAAGTCGTAGCCCCTGACCTGGCCACAGACGCTGCCTCCATGGCCACAGCCCCCAATCTGGCCACAGATGCTGCTCCCTGCAGCCACAGTCTCTGATCCAGGTGTAAGCGGTGCCCTAACTCCCTAGTTCGTGCCACTGTGCACCCTGGCCAGGGTAGGAACCCTCTCTGGGCTCAGCTGCCAAGAGGAGCCACAGCCCGTGTGCGGGAGGGTGGGCAGCGCCGTCACCCAGACCCCTGGCCCAGCGGTCAGAGCAGCAGCCTGCACACCTCGAGGCCCTGTGGCCCTGCGGCTGCTGCGAGGCCCCACGCGCTGTGCACTAAGGAGGCCCTGGGCCTGCAGCTTGGTGGGCACGGGGCCCCGCATCACCCCAGCCCTGCCCGCCCTGCCTAGGCCTCCCCGCTCGCCTCCTACTGTGCCTGCCACTCCTCCCCTGGGAAGGCAGCGCCACCCCCACGCCTGCCAGCAGCGCGGACAGTGGACCTCCCCGAGGGAGGACACGTTCTCATATGCTCTGTCCCCTGCGGCAGCCACATGGCTTTCGTGGCCACCGTGGCCTGGGGTGTACCTGGCAGGAGAGGAATGCTGAAGTCTCTCAGAGGTTCTTGACCCAAACTTGCACGCCCACGTGACTGGCAGCACCCAGCCACGGGCCCTTCCTTCTTCCTCCCCTTCCTCCTCCTCCTCGTGTTCTCTCGCTGCCAGGCAGGGACCCCAAGAAGAGAGAGGGCTGGACAGACGCAGCCACGTGGGAGCCGTGGCCTTGTCAGGAGGTTGGGTCTTTGTAGACAGAACCAGTGAACATCAGGTTGTACTGGGCTGGGTGGGCCCTGAGCCTGCGGCTGGCGTCCTTCTAAGAAGAGGGCGACAGTCAAGGAAGCGGGAGGCAGAGACCAGGGCAGGGCAGCCGCAAGCCAGGACCTCCAGGGGCCCCCGGAGCTGGGACAGGAGGCGAGGAGCTGCCCGCAGCCTGCAGAGGGCGGTGTCTGCCCCACCCACATCTGGGTTTTAGACTCCGGGTCTCCAGACTGAAAGAACAAACCCTGGGTCCAGCTGGCTGCTTGGTCAGCTCAGTCCCAGCCGGCAAGGACAATGCCAGCCGTGGCCACTCCCACGTTCCCTGCCGTGTCTGCAGCACGTGGCGCCACGTGGTTTCCTTTGTGGCCCCTGGCACCTTCAGGAGCTGGGTTTTTGGTGACTTTGTCCTTGCCTGCTGCCCCCAGCGAGCGGGGCACTGCCTGCGGCACCTGCTGCTGTCTTCCCTGCAGCCCTGGCCGCTTCCTGCACACAGTAGGTGTTACCAAAAGTTCTAGATTGCGAGGAGGAATCTCCCTCTGGGAGGGGCTGTGATGACTCGAGACGAGTCAGGGTAGAGGGCAGGGCTGGTCCCACAGCCTCTGAGCTCTCCGAGCTGCCAGACTCCTCCGCAGAGGTGCAGGGGTGCAGAGGTGCAGGGGTGCAGAAGTGTGGAGGTGCAGGGGTGCGGAGGTGCGGAGGTGTAGCAGGTGCAGAGGTGCAGGGGTGCAGAGGTGTAGCAGGTGCAGAGGTGCAGGGGTGCAGAGGTGCGGAGGTACAGCAGGTGCAGAGGTGCAGGGGTGCAGAGGTGCAGGGTGCGTGCAGAGGTACAGCAGGTGCAGAGGTGCAGAGGTGCGGAGGTGCAGAGGTGCAGAGGTGCAGGGGTGCGTGCAGAGGTACAGCAGGTGCAGAGGTGCGGAGGTGCAGGGCGCAGGGGTGCAGAGGTGCAGGGGTGCAGAGGTGTAGCATGTGCAGAGGTGCAGGGGTGCAGGGGTGTGGAGGTGCAGGGGTGTAGCAGGTGCAGGGGTGCAGGGGTGCAGAGGTGCGGAGGTGCAGAGGTGCAGCAGGTGCAGGGGTGCAGAGGTACAGCAGGTGCAGAGGTGCGGAGGTGCGGAAGTGCAGAGGTGCAGGGGTGCAGCAGGTGCAGAGGTGAAGCAGGTGCAGGGGTGAAGCAGGTGCAGAGGTGAAGCAGGTGCAGGGGTGCAGAAGTGAAGCAGGTGTAGCAGGTGCAGAGGTGCAGGGGTGCAGAGGTGCAGGGGTGCGGAGGTGCAGGGGTACAGAGGTGCAGAGGTGTGGAGGTGAAGCAGGTGCAGGGGTGCCGCGGATGTGTTCCCCACACGATGGGGGCATGGAGAGGGCAGGCAGCGAGTGGCCCGGCCCAGCGCCCCTCCCGTGCGCCCGAATGGCTCTGGGTCAGGGGGCCGCATTCAGACAGGCACCCTCCTCAGTCCTTTGGGCACGACGCGTCCTGGAGCCCCCCCCAAGACTGACCGCAGCCAGGGCACAGGAGCCAGGGCCTCGTCCGGTCACTGGGCGGTCACAGGGGCTCGCAGGCTCTCCGGGCCCTGCGCTCCATCCCAATCCCCACGGGACACAGTCTCACCCAGGTCGCTCCCAAGAAAGCTCGGACTGTGCAACCCACCGCGTAGGCCTCACCCCGCTGCCTCCCGACCCTCAGCTGGCGTGGCTGCCCCGTTTCACAGGTGCACGGCCCTGTCCACAACCACGCAGCCTGCGAGGACCAGGGCTCAGCTGCCTGCCCCGGAGGCCACCCCGATTTCTGGCCAAGCCCCGTGGCTAGGAAATGGGTCACACCCTTCCCAGGTGCGGGGGTGTGGGGACTTCCACGTGACCGCCCCTGCTCAGAGGTGAAAGGCGGGGGCGCCAGTGCAGAGGGAGGGTCCCCTCGGGCGGGCAGCCGGGACCTGGGAACGGGGGACCTGCCACTGCCTCGCCAGCCTCGGCCCCACGAAGGCCAGCAGCAAGCCCCAAGCATGGCCTGCAGCCCCAGCTCACGGGGCCCTGCAGACCCGGGAAGGAGGCCTGCGGCACTTGCAGAAGCGGCCGAGGCAGACAGAGGAGAGCTGGGGGCCACCCAGACAGCGCGCGCTGCTGGGAGGGGCGGCCGTGGCTCACACACGGTCCCCGGAGCAGCCGCCGCCGTTTGCTCCGAGCCCAGCGAGGTGGCTGCACCAGCCCCTGGAGCCCAGCGCCCTGGTAGGGAGAGGACCTCCGAGGTCCCCGGGCATCCGGGCTGCCCGGGAGCGAGAGCTGAGCAGGGGGAGGCGGGTGAGCTCTGTCCTGGCGCTGCTGGTGGGCAGTCATGATGTCACTTCCAGGCCCCGGCGTGTGCCAGATGCCGCAGGTGCTCCTGCGCTTGGTGGGGCTCCACGGGCAGAAGCAAGCCCGCCCCGGCTCACCCTCCCTGGGTTGGCTCTGGGTCTGGGTGGGGAGGAGGAAGCCGATGCCACAGACGCTGGGGCCGCGAAGGCTTGGGAGGTCCCAGAGCCCCTCGCCAGACAAGGGCCGGGCGAGTCAGGCCCCGATGGCCCCAGGCCCGGTGCAGCTGCTGCCCCTCCACACCTGCTTGCTCGGCTCCTGGTGGGGGTTGGGGGACTCACCCCTGCTTTCCTGAGCCCCTTACCCCTGGCTGCCCCAGGAGAGCTCACAGGCGCCAGCCTAGGGGCTGCCGAGGCCCTGTCCGGTCTTTCTCCTCCTGAGGGCCTGGCCGCCCTGCGCCTTCCCACTGTGCACCCGCAGGCACGCCTGTCCCCACGTGACCCACACGCCGCCTCACCTCACGGTCCAGGCCGGCCGCCACCGTCACAATGTCCCCCGTCTCACTGTTGATGGTGAACATGTTCTGGGAAGGGCTCTGAGGGCTCTGTGTCACGATGCGGTACCGCACCATCCCGTTGGCCGTGGTGCTGTCGTCGGCGTCGTTGGCCGTGACCGTCATCACGTAGGTGCCTGGAACCGAGAGAGCTGCTCAGACGGAGGTCACCCAGCACACGGGTGCCGCCCCATGCACACACCCCCGGCAGGCATCACCAGTCGATCTCAGAGCTCTCCCCTGAGACTGAGGTAACTCCGGCCTCCTTCCCACCCCGTGAACGGGACACCTGCCAGTCCTCAGAGATGATGCCAGAGGGCACACCTGCCGCCCCTGCCCCCCCCACTGAAGGGTTTCTCCCAGACCCGAACGCCCCTTTGAGGCCACGGGCCCCAGGTGCACAGGGCTGAAGGCCCAGCACTGTTCTCTGAGCCCACAGAGGGCTGGCCTGGAGAGTGCAAAGGGTCGGTGCTGCGGCGTAGCGGGCAAAGCCACTGACTGCAGCACTGGCATCCCACGTGGGTGCCGGTTCCAGTCCCGGCTGCTCCACTTCTGATCCAGCTCCCTGCTAATGCTCCTGGGAAAGCAGTGGAAGATGGCCAAGTGCTTGGACCCCACACCCATGTGGGAGACCTGGAAGAGGCCCCTTGCTCCTGGCTTTGGCCTGGCACAGTCCCTGCCACTGCGGCCACTTGGGGAGTGAACAGAGCATGGAAGCTCTCTCTCTCTATTTCTCCATCTCTCTCTCTGTAACTCCTTCAAGTATATAAATAAAATAAAGATTTTTTAAACAAGGGAGGGTCTCAGAGGTACGTCATAAGAAAAACAAGACCTCATTCAGACTGGGTATACAGAAGGTGCATAATAAATTATTGAGCAAGACACTGTGGGGAGCAACCCTAGCCGTGACCCCTTGGGGGGCCAAGGTGCAGGAACGCGGAGTTAGGGAGTGACTCCAGGGGCATGATGGGACATGCGGCCGTGAGCGTTTCCTGGCCGATGAGGTTGGGCCCGGGGTGCAGGTGTACTGTTCCCACCTACGTCCACTTGGTGGGGGTCAGGGTCTGCAGTGGACGCCGCACAGTCCCCTGCCTCTGAGCTCAGAGTTCAGTCTCCCAGGCCTCCTTGCCCCGGGCAGGACATGACCAGGACGGCCCTGGCCCTGTGCAGCGACGGACGGTTGATGTGTTTCGAGCCGGTGATGGGGCGGGGTGTGTGTGGGAGTCACAGCTGTGTCCTCCCTGCTGTGTTTGGCTGGGCCAGCGTGTGAGGTCGGGGGCTGTGGACATTCCATGGCCACGAGGGAGCAGATGCTGGGACAGGGCCATCCTGGAGGAAGCGGAACCGAGGGGCACTCGGGGGCCGCGTCTCCCAAGAGGAGGGCCTGCAGCCCCTGGATCAAGCCGAAGGTGCTGGCCAACGACTGAACACTCAGCCATGCGTCGCTCCCTGTCCCACGCCTTCCCACCACGTGCAGCCCTGCGTCCCGACAGCCTCACGCTCCCAGCCCTGCGCCGGCGCCCACTGCTGGAGTCTCGCCTCTTCCTGGTTCCGTGCTCTTTGCTCGGTTCCGTGTTCCCTGCTGTGGGAACCACTCGCTGTCCCGCCTCCCAGGGCGCCAGGCGCTCGGGAAGAAAGAGCCACAAATCCTTCCTCAAACTTGCAAGCTCCGAGAGAACGTTCTGGAAGCAGCACACTGCGCAGGCACCGGAGGTCCAGCCTGCCTGTGTCTGTCCTGCAGGCTTTACTTGCTGCCCACAAGGCTCCCGGGCCACCTGGGCTCACCCTTCCCTGGGCAAGGACAGCGGTGGTCCCCGGGGGCAGCTCCGATCCCACACGGCCGACCAGAGCTGCTCACTGGTTTCTGGCTAGTTATAAATGCACGAAATCTAAGCTGCCCTTTTTTTCTAAGCTCAGGAACTTGCTTTTGAAAACCAAGCGAGATCCCTTGGACAATTTTCTCGTTGCAGAGTGAAAGCACATTTGCGGTATCCAGCAAGTGCTCACTGGACAACAGCGCACGGCAGCAGCAGAGACCGTGAGGACGCCGGCCCCGAACGCCTGCCCGAGACCGGGATGGGGCCTTCCAGGAAACGGCCTGAACTCCGCTCATCCGGGGGTAGAGCCCCCCTCCACTGGTTCACTCCCCACAGGCCTGCGGCGGCTGGGGCCTGGCCAGGCCGAAGCAGACGCCAAGAACTTCGGCCATGCCACCCTGAACGTGCCTGATCTCATTTGATCTCGGACCAAAAGATTGAGTGTACGCACGGTCAAAGCCCAGCAGAGCCCTGACCCCCAACGGCCTGGCCCCCAGGAAGCCCAATCCTCTGCACACCAGCACCAAAGGCATTCGCTGTCCGCACCGAGCTCCTGGGACCAGCCCTCCACCCACACCCACTCCACCAGTAACCACTCAGTCAGGTTCCCAGCCTGGGACCCCAGCATCACCTAAGGTCCCCCAGCCAGGGACCCCAGCCGTCACCACAGTGACCAGCCGGGACCCACAGTGACCAGCCCAGGGCCCACAGTGACCAGCCGGGACCCACAGTGACCAGTCCAGGACCCACAGTGACCAGCTGGGACCCACAGTGACCAGCCCAGGACCCACAGTGACCAGCCGGGACCTCGGCCGTCGTCTTGAGGCTGCTGTTCTGAGTGAGACTGGGAGGCGGCCAGGCCCTGCCACTCCTGAAAGTCCAGGAAGCCAATCGATCACCTCTGACCTCTGACCCCTGACATGAGTAGCACCTGGCTACTCACTGAGCGTCCACTGTCCTGAGCTTTGGCTTCACTTCCTTCGGGGACGAGCCAGAGCCCATTCGACGTGTCCCCGAGCCACCACCGAGGAGTGCCCGGTGGTGAGCCCTGTGCAGCGTGCCCGGCTAGCAGCCCAGGCGCTTCTCTGAAGCCCCCTCCTCCGCCGGCCTCCAGGACCTGCCAGGCCACGTCTCCGCGGTCACATCTGGCTCGCGCCGGTTTGCTCTCTGCACATGTCACATTGTCACCGGTGGCAACTGGACAGCGGCACCTGCAGCCTGGCCGCACGTGAGTCGGATTGGATGGGTGAGCTCGGGTGTCCCACATCAGGGCCACGGTGGCCACGCTTGGGTGGCACACGGCAGGGCCACGGCGGCTGTGCCAGGAGGGACCCTGACAGGCACACACGCTCCCTCTGGCCACGTGACGCTTTGTGCCACCGCAGGACGCTGCCAGCAGGGACCGCCCTGGCTGCTGAACCCCAGGACGACCCCACTGTGGACTGTGGCCTCCTGAACCGGGAGCCGCAGCACCGCCCCCTTCACACGTAGCTCGTCTGGGCACGCGTGGAGTTCAGGAAAGCCGTCCACAGTCACGTCCGAGGTCCAGCGGGGCGTGAGCCGTGCAGGGACAGAGTCACAGCGGCCATGCTCGGGGAGCCCCTGCTGACGCCAACCTGACTGTGGTAGGGCCGGGGGTGACAGCTAGGAGCTTGCATGGGAGCGCGTGGTGTCCTGGGCCCCAGTCCTGGCCCTTCCCCGGCTGTCCTGACCCCCCGGAGCCCTCTGGGCCCAGAGGTGCCGAAGGCACAGTGTCCCCGGTGGCGTCTGCTGGGAGCTGGCGACTGCTCCGTGCACGGCACCTCTGCCGTCCCTCGTGGGCCGGAACAGCCACGCTTCCTCCTCCTGTGGAGAACAGGGCCGCCCTGAGCATCTGGGACGGCAGGAGCCTGGCTGCCAGTGTCCCCTGCTGACCCGCTCGCCTCCCCCCCCCACCCGGCCGGAGCCGAGGCAGCACTGGGCTGTGAGCCCCGGGCTGCCCCTCCCACCATGCTGGGAAAGCCGTGGGAGGGGCCCTCGGCAGAGAGCTGGGCCGGCGGCTCCTCGCCACGTTGGCACTGAGGGTGCTCACGTTGGTGGCGTCTGTGCTGAAGGGGTGCTAAGCTGAGTCCCCGTCTGGAGGCTCAGGCAAGGAGGGAGCGGGCCCAGGCCCCTCTCCCGCTGGGGGGCGTGCAGTTTGCTAGCAGGTGCGGTGGCGGCGGGGGGGTGCCTTTGTGCCGGGCTCCAGGTGGGGGAGGCTGCCTCTCCCCGGGTGGTGCTGGCGTCGGCCGGTAGATGGCGCTCACAGGTGTGGGGCAGGGCAGGGCGTGGGGCAGGGCAGGTGCTCCCGCCCACGGCTGCCTAGGAATTCACGTACCAGGGCTGCCAGGCGCCTGCGAGGATTAATTTCACAAGTCTTAAATTGCAGTTTAATTTGAAAACTAATTCAGCCCCATAACTGGCTTTCTGCTGAGACCACTGAGGATAAAGATTTAAGTTCTTAATATTCAGACGATCGTCAAGGGCCCCGCCGTCCATCTCGGGGCTCCGGGGCTCTCCCGCACGGGAGTGAAAGAAGGAAGCGAGGGAGCCCCCTGATGGTGGGAGCTATGGAAGCGGAAGTCTGCGTTGCCTGGTTAAGGCCGCCTTGGCTGCTATTTATCTAAAATGACATTCATTTCGAGGTTTGTAACACAGGCCTCCCTGCGGGTTTGAGGGGCTAGGCGGGCTGGACAGTTCCAATTAGAGACTTTTAGTTAAGAAACAATCAATACGGGGCATCTTCTCACGGGCAGCTCCTGCAATGCACAGAGCCCGGTCTGCACCACCCTGGGCCGGGACGACGCGGCTGCAACGCCGGACGGAGACGTGGAGACGGACTGCTCCCGGGCCCGCGAGCTCCTCATCCGAGGCCTTGAGTGACAGGAAGGAAAGCAGGTCCCAGGTGAGTGATTCCGCGGACTTGGCAGGACAAATGCCCGCTGGCTCCCTGCTGCCCCCAAGCCGGGGCTGAGCCACAGGCCTGGCAGCCCTGCCTCCCCGCTCTGCGTCCATGCAGACCCCAGGTGGTCCCCACATAGCCCCCTCCCCGAGCTCCCTCGGACTTCTAGGATGCAGCCCTGGGCTCGTCCGCCAGGTCCAGATGCCCCCGAGCCGCCATCCACGCCCACCCCTGCCCAGGCGCACGGGGTGAGGAAGTGCGGGCAGCCTAGGGGTGGCGACCACGGCCGACTGAGCGCTCGTAGCCTGGAGGACGGCGTGAGGAGGCTGGCCCGGGGCAGTGGGCGCTGACGTGTGTGCAGAGGTGGGTGGGAGCTGCGTAGAGGTGAGGGGGGCGTTCC